CGAACCGCTGAAGCGTTGACCATTTCTGGCCAGCAACTTTCAGCGTCATTAAGCCGCTGCGACTGCAAGCAGGACAGGTAGCACGGCTAAGCTATAACCAGGGAAGAGGGAAAGTGGCAGGACCGGTGGAGAGAAACGGAAGGATGGCCGAGAGGCGCAGCAGAGAAGCCTTCAGAGGAGAGCGCTGGCAGAGTCCCCAGGGGTAGCCTTAAGGCCGCGCTCATCTTGAAGCTTTTCCCAACGATCTTGAGGGCTTGAAACTTAGGCTTACGTTAAGGATTTTAAACGTCTGGCCAAATGCAAGGTTCCTTGCTTGGGCACTAGCCTCAGAATTGCAAAGTACTCAAACCTGTTCAGAATATAAACAAAAGCCGTACATACATTTTATACACAAAAGGCCCTGAGGTTACAGTATTTTAGGTAGGATCCTCTAGGCTCTAATTGAAAAACAAGATTGGGAGAAAAGAAACTTAGCATACCTCAGAAAAGTCAGGTGATTTATATTAACCTCCTTTGCTTTAAAATTATATTTTTTTTCAAAAAATAGGTTAATATAAATACTATCCTGAATAATATGATATTAGTGGTACAGTCTCTAAATTAACTTCTCTAACCTTCCAGCTCCAGAAGTGTTGGACTACATCTCCCAGTATCCCCTAGTGAACAAAGGTTTGGGGAGGCTGTTCTAAAGTAAATCACTGTCTACCAGATTCCCCTTAAAAAAGGAAGTTCTAAGTTAGTGAAGAACCAATTTAAAAAATTATAAATATGTAAAATTATACTCCCTAATTTATCAGGCTGAGAAAAAAACCTGTTCTAGTTTGCCCAGTAATTATGAAATCGTATCTCTTAGACCATGACATGCCTATCATATTTCTCTTTTGTTTATAAATTCATGTTTTGAGAAAGGGACTGACACAAGGCAGAAGCTAAAAAGAAATCAGAAAAAAAAAAAGTTTCCTATTCCTGTGTTGCATATTTAAACCTGTTTTGCCTCGCTACTGGTCGGAAGATCCCAATGTAAATATTTTAAAGACATATAATGTAAAGAAAATGCATAGAATATGCAATGCAAAAAAGAACTGGTTTTCAGAATAGAATTTTAAAATAGCTTTTTACCATTTTCTGATTTATACCACTTCAATTTAAATTATTTAAATGTCATAATGTTCCTGTCAGTTGGAAACTAAGTTGTGCAGATCAAACTGTAGTCCAGAACCATAATTTTAAAATGGCATTATGCAGTTCCCCAAAATATTTTGGAAGTCAGCTAAATCACAACTAAACCTAAGTAGAAGATTGAAAAGGCATTTTGTAATGTTCATAGTAAGGACAGCAAACAAATATGCCATCTTAATCTTTTCTTCAATCAGTTTATACAAACAAAACCAGTTTTGTCCAACACTAAAGTTTCCAAATTGTTTTAATAGACAAACTCAACTTGGAATATAAAATGGAAAAGTGCCATAACAAGAAAAGGAGAGGCAGTCCAAGATGTACATCAGGAGAACAAAACTACCTTCCTGCATATCAGTCACAAAAAGTCACCAGTATGCAGAGAATCCCAGGCTTCAAGGAAGGAGCAGAAATGTGGATACTATACACAGGAGGAAAACAGTTCACCGAAAAAAGGGGGGGGTGAATACCCTACCTTTGTATTTGTGTGAATAATTGGGGGCAGGGGGAACATTGACTAATTCTTTATTTCAGTGTTACCAGTTCAAACCTGGTAACTTTAAGTGTGGACTTCAATTCCCAGAATTCCCCAGCCAGCATGGGAGTTGAAGTCCACACATCTTAAAGTTGCTCCAGAGTGTTCCCATCCAGTCCAAACAACCCTTCCAAATAAATAGCTGAAGAGACCCTTTTGACATACCATCAGTGGCCACATTTGTATAAGAGTTTTTCTGAAACGCAATTGTTTCCAAGTCAGGAGAAAGGCCATTTTTATCCTACCCTTGGATCAAAAGTTTATTGTTGGAATAAACAATACAATGACACAATACAAACACAACTAAGCATGTTGCCAGATCTGGAAGAGGTCTGGAAAATTCAAGACTTTCTCCAGCACTCCATAGTAACATCAACCTGACTTGGCCCACTCTGTGTGTGTGTGTGTGTGTGTGATTTTTCTTTAATTATT